GAAAGAAGAAAGGTAAATACAGGAGAAAGGCTCTAGGCTGTGTGCATGCAGGGGGAGAGCGAAGAGCTAGAGAGGGGGCTATGGTGGAAAAGAGGAAATTGTGTAACTCTGCGGGTTGTGGGGCAATGCGCTCAGGGGTTGGCAGCAGGAGTTTGGCACCAGTAACCGAATTTGCATCTGGAAACACTCTGGAATGGGGTCTTCCTCATCTCCTTGCAGTCTGGAACAATTTTTCTTCCTTCTAATCTGAAGCATCAGGCTGATTTCGTGCAGTTCGCCCCTTTTTTGGAAGTGGTCTCTAACGACTTCTCTCTGAGGGAGGTGAAGGTCACCTGACCCTGGCTGTGTTTTAGTTCAGTGGTGATTGTCAAGTGCTGGCATTGTTCAGGGTGCTTGTTAGTCAGTCGGATCTCAATAGCTGTAAAAACTGTGAACACCAGGTGTTTGCTGTAGCTACTCAGAAACCACTGAATTATATTAATATATCAGTGCAACAAAGCATAGCATTTAAGTAAATTGCAGTTAGATGTATGAAGGCTTTAGAGCGCACACATGTTTTAAAAAAAATCCTGTAGCAGATTGTGACGTGAGTTTACTGCTTCCCACCCCTCCGCACACCTACAGCAATGCAGATAATGCTGGTAACAGGAACTCTGCAGGGCAGGGAACAAAAGCAAAAATGCTTTTAGTTTATTTTATCCCAGAATAAACAAATATCCAAAAAGGCAAGTCAGTGCGGTGGCTTGTATAGGATTCTAGGGGAAAGGATGGCCCTGCACTTCTTTGGAGTTCAGCAGAGCAGAATTAAGCCCCCGTGTAAACCGCAGACCTCCTGCCCAGAGTGTTGAGCTAATCTAACCCTCCCGTGTCTCTCTGCTCTCAGACTGCGCAGGCAGAGGAGCAGCTCCGCCAGCACTCCCAGATGGAGGAGCGGCGAGTGGCCGACTTGGAGGGCCAAGTCTCCGAAGTGTCAGAACTACTTGGCACTTACGAAAAAGCCAAGCAGAAGGACCAAGTGGTCATTCAGAAGCTAAAGGACCGCATCGTACAGTTGGACCTGGAGAACAAAACCCTGGCCATCGCTGCCTCCAGCCGATCCCCTGTTGATATTCACATAGAAGAAGCCAATCTTGATGTTAATGTTCTAAAGGATAAAATGGAGAAGCTGAAGAAGCTCTTGCAGGCAGCAGCTAAGAAGAGCCAACCCGCTCTGGACATCGAGAAGCTGTGTGAGCTGGAGCTGCCAAAGGGCACTGAGGCTGGGGATGGTGAGAAGGCCACTGCTTTGTACTATCAGCAGGAGCTGAAGCAGCTGAAGGAAGAGTTTGAAAGGTACAAGATGAGGGCACAAGTGGTTCTCAAGAACAAGTCGGCCAAAGACGGCAATCTGGCTAAAGAACTGGAGGAAGCTCAAGAGCAGCTGGCTGACCTGAAAGAGAAATACGTTGTGCTTCAGCTGTCCTCTGATGAAATGGAGAAGCAGCACCAGCAAGACATGGAAGCCAAAAAGCAAGAGTTGTCCCAGCTGCAGCAAATTCATAGGCAGGAATTAGAGCGATGCCAGTTGGACTACAGGGAACGGGCGCTGAAGCTGGAAGAGGAGATGCACAAACAGCGGGACCGAGCACTGGCGGTGCTGGCAGAAAAGGACCAAGAGCTGGAGCAGCTGAGATCTGTCACGTTGCCTTATGGGCTTCAAGGATCCAAAAACTACCTAGCGTCAGGGACTGATGTTACTAGCAATGACTCACCAGGTAACAATTCCTCAGAGATTCTCCCCCAGGCTCTTGATCTCTCCGCCACCAGTGAGCCCACCTTCTTCTTGTACGCAGAGCAGCTGGCTCGCAAAGAAGTGGAAATTGTAGCGCTGAGGAAGCAGAAGCACAAGCTGGAAATGCAAGTTCACCAGCTCCAGGAGAAAATCTTGGTTGAGGAGGAGAAGCACCGGGAAGAGGTATCCGCACTTCAAAGCAAAATCGAGAAGAATTTCAGAGATAAGAGCAGAGAGGGAGCCAACCTGGAATACCTCAAAAACATTGTTTATAGATTTTTGACACTGCCAGATTCTCTTGGGCGCCAGCAGACTCTAACTGCCATATTGACTATTCTGCATTTCAGCCCAGAAGAAAAGCAAACTATTACAAAACAGTCGGCTTACAGCAGCTGGTGGCTTTCTGGGAAGAGATGAGATGGTAGCTTTTATTCCTAACTGCTTTTGCATAGTAACACGTTTCTAATTATTAACTAAGACCACTTCGCTTGTGGTGTAACCTCTTTCCGACCATGCGATGGAGCAGGGAGCTTTCAGCAAAGAATTGGGCTTAAACTAGTGCTCTTAGCACTAATTTAAAGTAGAATTGTGCCAACTATTCCAGTAGGATCACAGTGCTCTCTTGCTCTCTGGTGTGAGAATTTGCTCTGAGTTGGAACTTGATTTTAAAAAAATACATATTTAAGATACTGATGCTTTTTTAAACACAATTTAAAAAAAATCCCTACCTGTCAGGCGTAGGGTGAGGAGCTCTATTAGAGTGGAGCTTGCTTGTATCTTCAAACACCAGGCAGGCTTGTGACTCAAAAGATTTAAAGACGAGGGGGGGAAGCACTTAACACAGTGCTAAAATAACATAAGACAAAGAGCTGAAAGCCTGCAAGAAGGATGAGTCTTAACTACCAGCATCATCCAAATGCAGAAAATCTTGAGCGCTTTCCCAAAAGGTTTTTTTACCTAGAGCCAAATTTATACCAGTGGGTACAGCAGCTCCTCGTAGCACTGGGGACCACCCGATGGCACAGCGTGTTACGGTGTGCTCCCGTTACTGACCAGGGATTCTCTCTGCAGTTATCGGTGTTTCCCAGAAAGGAGGAAAGGTACCCCAAGCATTTAACAGTTTGAACCCTTGTAACTGCAGTGGTGCAAGCGGTGGTTCCCCACCAGTGTCAAACCAGCAGGTGCTACGTAGCAGTTCTTTCAGAGCAGAGATCTGAGCTTTCTGACCCTGTTTGAGATGGGAACCAGGGTGTTGCAGAAAACAAGCTGAGGAAAGGCTGACATAGGCACAGTCACCCTTCAGCAGTCATTTTCTGAGCGTTTGGGAGTTTTGGTGAAGTTTTGGATGTTCCACAATGTTGTTTTTGGAAGCAAGGCGTCGCTCCTGCTGGGATAGAAGAAACAAGCAGCAGTGAGGGGCAGAAGATAAAGGCTCTGGGGGCAATGTGTGCCCTGGGCTTGCAGTAAACACTGTGTGAGGATGAAGGCCTGGCCGGCTGCTGCATAGACCTTGAAGTTCTTGCGTAACTTCCTTGCAAATTGGTGAGCGTGGCAGGAAGGAAGCCAAAACATTTTGAAACACCGCTGGCTTTGGTGGACCGCTGTCATCTGCCCGCTGGCATGCCTGTGTTGTGCAGTTGTGCTCCGGATCTGCCGGCTCCTGACTGCTTAGACCCAGAACGACTGAGCCGAAAGCCCTGGCTGGGTGGGAAGGTGGCTGTAGTAGGCGTCTTAGGAACGGTTGCAAGACTAAAACCAGGGTGCGTGTTTTGAATATTAGAGGACTGTGTGAGAAGGGTCAGGGCCTTGGGGAGCTGCGGTGTGCAGCTGCGAGCGTGCTGGGGGAGCTGCCTGCTCCTGCCCCCGGGCCGGGGAGGGCAGCTGGCAGGCTCAGTGCGAGGCCAGCGCTGGCACGAGCAAAATCCTCTCTCCTCTGCCACAGCAGGAGCCTGATTTTCCTTTTGTTGTGAGCTCTGCACTCTGGTGCCTTGAGAGCCGACAGGCTGGAGAAGGGGAACACGCTGTTTCACCCTCAAAGCCCATGTTTTCACCGGTCGAAGGGCTAGGGCAGCGGCTGGCTTTACCCTGTTGCCTTCCCTTCGCCTTCCATCTCCCCCCTGCCAGGTTGATGGTTGAGACAAGGGAAGCAGCTACCTGTCTGGAGGGACAGACTGGGTCCCTGGGGATCTCTCCAGCCGATCCCCTGGGTGCTGGGGCCACTAGAGGGCACCCACCAGTTGCCCAGTCCTCGGAGACAGGGACACTAGGGTGCAGCATCCCTCCCACTGCAGCCACACCCGGCACTGCCAGGGCTTGTTCCCCTGGGACGGGACCTGGCTCTGAAAAGTGACGCACAAGGAAAGCAGCAAGGTGGCATGAGAGGGCTCAGCGACGGCGACCGAGCCTGGGTCCTGGCTGGTCCACGTGGCCGGGGGGCAATGCTGTATCTCAGGGCAGCTCGCACGGGGGCTTTGAGCTCCGCAGGTGGGAGAGGTTCTGCGGGGTCAGCAGGGCAGGTTTCTCTGTCCAAATCGTCGTCTGCTGCAGTGAACTGCTCCTGAGGTCTGGGGCAGGGTGCCGACGCTTTCTGTAGTGAAGGTTATGCAAGGTCAGGAGAAAAAAAAAAAAAAAAGAGACTGAGTGTGCCAGCTATTGTGTGTCCAGTGTTGCCTGTTGGCATTAAGTTATCCAAAATGGGAAGGACCATCTCTGCGCGGCCGGAAGAGCTGTGCTGGCTGGATCTGCTGGAAAAGCGCCCATCAGGAAGCGTTTGTGCTGATATTTAAATGGTCACTACTCTCTTAAAACTAGGGAGGGATGTTTTGCTTCCAGAGAAGCTGGGTGGTTGCCTGCAGCCCTGGGAACCGGCTACTCCCGGCTGTGCTTCTACTGAAGCTTCTAGAGCTTTCTCATCTGCGTAGGCAAAATCTCACTTGAGTTTTGTTTTCATGCACCTGCTTTGTTTTTAATTAAAGCTTGGCTATTAAAGCACAACTTCCCGGTCCCAGAGTACAGGGAACGTGTTTGTAAACACTGGCATTAAGTCTTGTTTTCACAATCCCCAGGCCTCTCACGAGTCCTGGAGCCCAGTTAACAAACAGGTTGATTTAGCAGCTCTCGATGCAGTGCTGCCCGGGGAGGCCTTGGCGCGCCGCACAGCCTGGGCAGCTCTTTGGGAGGGAGCTGCTGCGCCTCTGGGCAGCGCCGGTGCCTTGGCAGCTCACGCCGGCTCAGCCGGGTTGATGAGCCGTTGCCGCTCCAGCCGGACAAGCCCCGCTGCTCAGCGCAGGGTATGTGCTGCTCGCTCTGGGGTCTGAGTGCACGGTCCTTGCACGGCTGCAGCTCTTTTACCGGAGCGTGCCCCGGCACACGTGATGAGGCCAGCACGGTGCGCACTGTTTTTTTCGCAGGGGAAGTGGGAGGCCGCAGGAGCCGAGCGGGGCTCCCCAGCCACTGCACCCTTCCCTGCCTCGCCGCAG